TCTCTCTCAAATAAATAAATAAATAAAAAATAAACTGGGACTATGTCACCCAGGAGACTATGCAGCCCAAGCTGGTCTCAAACTCGAGGCAGTGCTCCTGCCTCAGCCTTCCAAGTGCTGGGATGATGACCCTGCAGGGAACAGAGGCGGAGGGGGACAGCTGTCCTGCTCTGTCCCAGGGCACCAGCCACACCCATCGGAGCTGCAGGGCCCTAGAAAGCTCAGGACCTCACCGGCAACGGTTGGCATGAGTTCAAGATCAACAGGTTTCAGGGTCTGAACAAACTCACTCGTCCCAATGGGGGTGCACGCTCGGAGGCGCCCAGCCCCTCATTATGGTGTGTGCATAGGCAGCGCCCTGTGTGTTCTCAACCTTGGACACACCCTGGGTCCCCTCCCTTCCTCCACAGGGGGAGGTGGACTGTGCAGACAGGGGTGTGCTGGGGACTCACTCAGCGGGGAGGCACCAGGTCCTGGGGAAGAAGAGGAAGTCCTTCGGGAACATCTTCAGCATGCGGCTCATGTTCCTGGCCAGCAGATCCTTGCGGCAGATTTCACTCATGCCGGGGAAGTGATTGATTTTCTGCAAAGGAAGCCAGGATCCATGACGAGTTGTGTGTGTGTGTGGAGGGGTGCTGGGGGACAGAACTGGGGACGCTTGGGGCCGGCACCTGGTAACTCTTCATCTCCATCACCCGCTCCAGAGACACGGAGCTGTCCGTCCAGTACAGAGTCCAGTCCTCATCCTCGCCCCCCTCGCGAAGCCCATACTTCTGGGCGGCCCTGCGCACTGCGGCGGGATTGCAGAGAAAAATGAGGCCTGTGAGCCGGAAGTGGGCCCAACCTGGGAGTGGGCAGGGCCCCCTCCCCCAGCAGCACCCAAGGGACAGAACCAGCTCCCTGGGCACGGGAGCTGTCGTGTCCGGTCTGATGATGCTGCCCAGCACATGGGGAAGCTGGAGACAGCCGACACCACCCGCCTAGTGGTGCACACTGGTCACCACTATGAGGCTGAGGCAAGAGGGTCTCTGCAAGTTCGAGGCCAGCTTGGACTATAAAGTAAGAGACTGTCTCATAAAAACCCCAAGAAGGAAAATTAACACAACTGGCACAAGGTGTCTGGGCTGAATGGTTATCATGGCCTGGCTTCCCTTTTCCAGAAAGCAGGCTGCTGGCTTTCTTTCTTTTTTCTTTTCTTTTTCTTTTTTTTTTTTTTTGGCAGAACCGGGGATTGAACTCAGACCCATGTGCTTGCCAGGGAAGCGCTTATTCCACTGAGCCATCTCCCTAGCAAGGCTGCTGGCTTTCCCCTAAACACCCAGTTTGACTATTCAGGGGATATAAATGAATCCTTAACATCAGCCAGCGCCAAGCTCAATTGCAGAGGTGAACTGCAGGAACAAACATTAGACAATGTATTTCAGAGCAAAAAAATACGGCCCTTTCATCTTTCCCCTGCTAGTATTAATAGCTGGGCCCTGGCTCTGATACCAACCAAAGGCCTTCAGGGACCTGGGCAGGAAGAGCCTGAACTTCAAGTACAATAAGGTAGGCAGGCCGCTGTTTTGTACCTTGGGCTTTAAAATCAGATCCTCACATTACATACAAGAATCATAAATAGGGGCTGGAGAGATGGCTCAGTGGTCTAAAGCACCTACTTAGAACAAGCTTGGCAAGGCATCAGGGACCGCGGTTCAATCCCCCAGCACCACATGCCAGCCAGTCCCGCCCCCTGGTGGGCTGAGCTGGCCACACACACACACACACACACACACACACACACACACCACTCTCTCTCTCTCTCTCTCTCTCTCTCTCAAATAAATAAAAAAAGAAAAAAAGAAAAAAAGAAAACAGTGGTCTTCTCCTGTGTCACAGCGTATCCCACGGTTCCATTTAAAAAAAAAAAAAAAAAAAGAATCATAAATGGTTGGGCCATGTATGGTGACACCCGCCTGTAATCCCAGCCCCCATGAGGCTGAGGCAGGAGGACTTCTGGGAGTCCAAGGCCAGCCTGAACTACATAGTGAAACCCTTCTTAAGAAACAAACAAACATGGAATTACAGGTAGCTGACGTTCTCATCAATGAGGACAAAACCCGTGACTTCTGAAGGCAATTCCCCACCTCCTTGAGCGGCTCGTGGAGTCAGGAGAACCAGGGCACAGGGCTGGGGCACCCCCCTCATCCCTAAGAACACACACAGTGACCTGTCCCATCCTTGGGGGAAACGGTGGGTCCCCAGCACGGGCCCGGGAAGGCGGGTGCTCACCACTCTCGTACCGGCAGCTGGACAGATTGATCACCAATCATCTGGAAGAGAGAAAAGCGACAGCAGCCGGACAGCGACGGACACCCGGCTCCCAGCAGCGCCCTGTCCAGGCAGAGCAGGCCTGGCCAATCCCTTTGCTGGGGACACGGACCCAGCAGGGCACAGAGTGGCAGAAGCCACAGACTCGGCGAAGCCCACCCTGCCCCAGGCGCAGGATACATGGCAGCCACAGCGGTCACTGCCTCCGTCCTTTTCCTCCTGCAGTGCATCGGGACAGAAACCAAAGATCATTTTGGCCAAAATACTTGTGTCTTTGTCTTTCTGCCCATGTGTTAGAAAGCTGATACGCTTACTGCTTGGGGGGAGGTTAGGGAGAACCGGGCCCTGGACGGGCTGATCCAGTCCAAGGGCACTGAATCCCCAGGATGAACGAGCACCCTGCCGTGCCAAGGAAATCGCTGCCCAGCCCAGTGGGGGGATTCAGCCCAGGGCCTTCTGCACGGGCGGGCGACCAAAACTGCACTCCGAGCCCCATCTCAGCCTCCACACGTTTGTTTTGTTTTGCTTTGAAACAGAGTCTCACTGTGCAGCCCGGGGCTGACCTTGAACTCACATCGATCCTCCTGCCTCAGCCTCCCGAGTGCTGGGATGATAGGCGGACGCCACCACGCCCAGCACTCACACTTATTTTTTAAAAGGCACTCTAGGCTGGGTGTGGGGGCGCACACCTGTCATCGCAGCTCCCCAGAGGCTGAGGCAGGAGCGTCCCAGTGAGTTGGCGCCAGCCTGAGCGACATAGTGAGCTCAATACCAGCCTTAGGGAGACCCCGTCCCAAACAAACAAGCACACGAGAAGAAAGTGGTGCCACCATGCCAGTCCCCCCCCCCCTCAGTCTCCCCTCCGCCCTCAGCTTGTCAGCCAGGCCCCTCCCCCAGGCCCTCCTCTTCCGACGCACGCGGGTCCCACTCCTGTTGCAGTCCTGACCTCTTTCTCCTCCGCCTCTTCTTGCCCTGTGGCTGGGCGCTCTGCAGCCCCTTCTGTGCGTGCTCCCTCACGAAGGCCAGGGTGATGGTTTCTTTCCGAACCTCCACGGCGCCGTCCTCCCTGTCTCCGGAGGCAGCCCTTTCTCCCCTTGCCAAGTCAGGCGCTGGAGAGTTTTCCTGGCCTGGGCTGGGGCTCTGGGAAATCCCAGCCGGCCCTGGAGAGAAGGCGGAGGCAGCCGCAGTTACTCGGATGCGCCTGCAGGGGGACCCCCTCCCTCGCTCAGGGGGGCTGTGAACCAGGGTCCCAGGCAGGGCGGCAGGGCGGCAGGGGGCCGCCTGTCAAACGCGCCCCACCTCCGCGGGCGGAGCAAGCTCGGGATGTAGCTGGTTCCGCCGTGTGCCACGGAGCGCGGGCTCGGGCATGATCTGAGCCGTGCCTGCCCTTGGTTGGGCCCCCTGGGGTTTGGGTAGCAAGCTGAGATGCCATGCACAGCGCTAGCTGGTAAACAGTCTTATTATTAACGAGAGAGAGGAGATGGGTGTCTGGAGACAGCTCAGAGGCAAGGTACAAGCCCCAGGTCGCAGGGCCAAGGGAGCTGGTCCCAGAGGGCACCGCCAGCCTGTGACCTGCGACTGGCGGCTGGCAATGGTGGGCTGACCCACAGCTGACCGACAGGAGGGCTCAAGCCAGGGCCAGAGAGAGATCTTCAGGGAGTCTAGAAGTGTCCCCACCATCCACTCTGGAAACAAGAACAGCAGGACATGATGGCACATGCCTGTCATCCCAGCCCCGGGGAGGCTGAGGCAGGAGGGTCCCTGCAAGTTCAAGGCCAGCCTGGGCTACGTGGTGAGTTCAGGGCCAGCCTGAACTATGCAGAGAGACCCTGTCTCAAAACAAGCAAGAATAACTTTTTTCAAAAGCCAGAGTTACAACATACATACCAGGAAGCCTAGCAACTCATTTTCATCCTCACCATCCCATGAGACTTCCCTGATGTCTCCTTGAAATTTCAAATATGAAATTTGTCAAATGGAATTGAGGGCCAGGGAGACAGCTCAGTGGCACAGCATCTGCCTGGTGAGTGCAAGGTCCTGAGTTTGATCCCAGGTTCCAAAATATGGCAGTGTCCCTGTGTCCTTACTCCTTAGGATCATGCTTAGCTGCTGGGCATGAGGGTACACGCCCCCATCTCAGCTTTTGGGAGGCTGAGGCAGGAGGATTGCCACAAGTCTGAGGCCAACATGGACCCCATAGTGAGATCCTGTCTCAAAAAAAAAAAAAAAAACAAAACAACGCTCTTTGTTTGTTCTTATACCTTATACGTTCCTGTGACCGTAAAGCCTACCAACCTGTTCACCGTTTATCTATTTATTTTTGGTGGTGGTGCTGGGGATTGAACTCTGGACCTTGTGCATGTGACACAAGCACTCTACTACTCAACTATCCGCAGCCCTGCTCACCATTTGAGCATGTATCTCTGGAGGCCCACAGTCCTTTGCTACTTACTACTGAGCCCCCCTCTCGTGTTCTTGGGATTTAAAAAAAAATGATATTAACATCGCTCTCTGCTCCCCGCTGCCTCGGCGTGAGTCCTTTCTCCTCTGCCAGTCCCCTCTGCCAGGCCGCCCTGCCTTGTAGCCAGGGACTGAAACCTCCACAGGCTCGAGCTAATGTAGAGCTGTCCCCTTTCTCCTCAAAAACAAAGGATATTAACATCTTTATTATCACTGGCCCTTCCAGGGAACTCTGTGTGTGTGTGTGTGTGTGTGTGTGTGTGTGTGTGTGTGTATCTGTGTGTGTGTGTCTGTGTCTGTGTGTGTGTGTGTATCTGTGTGTGTGTGTATATGTGTTGCTAAGGGTCAAAGCCAGCGCGTCCCTCTCACACATGTCCTCCCCCTGAGCTACATCCACAGCCCATAGGGGAGTAGGAGTTATGCACAGTGAGTGGTGCATGCCTGTAAGGGGAGGCTGAAGCAGGAGGGTCGTAAGTTCAAACCAGCTTGAGCAATTTAGCAGGTTTGCAAGAACCTGTCTCAAAATTTAAAAAAAAATAAAATAAAAGTGGGCTGGGAGCCAGGTGTGGTGGCCACACCTGTCACCTCAGCACTCAGGACCTGAGGCTGTGGTTTGAGGCCAGTCTGGGCTACACAGTGAGTTCAAGCCCAGCCTGCACTGTATAGTGAGACCCTGTCTCAAAAAGACCAATAGATGAATAAATAAAACATTATTCTCCCCACCCCCCTCTCTGGGGCCTTTTCCCAAGCCTAATCTGCGGGCAAGGTGGGGCTCTCACTGCAAAGACTCCCTGCACATAATCTCACAGGAAGCAGTTACTATGGGGCTGGCAGATAATCTCAGTGAATGTTCACCCCGGCCAAGGATCGGCACTTTTATTTTCTTTTTTGGGGGGAGGGGTGTTCCTTGTTTGCTTGAGGCAGGGTCTTGCTCTGTCACTCAGGCTGGCCTCAAACTCACTATCTAGCCCAGCCTGGCCTCAAACTGAAATGGATCCTCCTGACTCAGCCTCCTGACCCCGGGATTATAGGTATGTACCACCACACCTGGCTGTTTTTCTCTCCCTTACAAAAGAAGGCTGCCACTGAACCTACGTCCCTGTAAAGTGACCCCAACCCAGGAGGACAGAGCTGGACTCAGAACAACCCACAGGTCAGCCGGGGGCCTGCAGAGCAAGCAGCTTTCCCAGGGAAACAGGCTCCCTCCCAGCAAAACGAAGAAGGAACAGAAATCCTGACCTTGGGCTGCACCCTCCCCGTGGGAAACAGCCAGCTCCACTCCGGAGCGCACAGCCCGCAGCTGCTCCTGGCCCAGCCCTCCGGGAGGTGCGGTTCGTTTACCTAAAGGTTAATCTTAACCCGGAGAGACTGACCCCGAAATCTGACCCTGGAGGAGCAGGCTATCTTGGCCCTGTGTGCCCATCCTGGTCCATGCCCAAGTGGGAAGACCAGGCTGGGGGCTAGGATTTCTCTCCCTCAACAAGAACAACTAAAACAGAAAGGAAAATGCCAAACGCCCTTCCTTGCCTAAGCCAAGGATCCAAGAGTGTGCTTCGCTTCCAGAGGAACTGGCTTCGCAGTTTCCAACTTGGCCCATGCTCTGGGCCCTGACAGGTGAGGCTGCAAGACAGCAGTCCCCGCGAGTGTGACCAAGTGCGCTTTGCCTTGGGCCCCTTCCTTCTCTTTCCAGCCCTCTGCTTCCCATTTAACACCCAAGGCGGTGTCCTGCTGGATTCTCTCCAAAGGCTGAAAATGTCTCACTTACAGGTTGTCCAAGGGGCCCTGCTGCCCGGATCTACCAATAGCTCAGAGCTCACGGAAATAAACTTGGCCTTCAGTAGTGCATTGGTTTTTTGTTGTTGTTGTTTTGTTTTGGTTTGTTTTTTTTTTTAGTGCATTGTTGTTATAGGTTTTCACTAGATATAGCTGCCAATAACCGGAAAATTCCAGATTTCCTCTTTTTTATTTTTTTGAGACAGGGTCTCACTATGTAGTCTAGAAAGACCTTGAACTCACTATGTAGCCCAGGTTGGTCTCGAACTTATGGCAATCCTCCTGCCTCAGCCTCGTGGATGTTGGGATGACAGGCGCATGCCACCCTGCCTGGCTGTGCTTTTTTTTTTTTTTTTTTTTCTTTCTTTTAAGCACTAGACTTGGCTTCTTTCCATACAATGAAAACTTTCATTCTCTTACAACAACAATAGCTGGTATTTCAGGCCTTTTCACCAAGATATTAATTATCCAAAAGCATGTTACAGACCTAATGTCTCATCCTCGTAATTCCCTTGTATACCCAGTCTTTCCAGTCACACAGAAGAGAAGTGCCAGGCATGGTGGGCTCAGAGAAGGCACTGCTGGGCTCAGAGCCCACGGCTGGCTGGCACAGCTTGGCCCTGTGCTGCCGCTCCTCTCTGCTCCCGTCCTACAATGATTCAACCGTAATTCTGCTGGCTGCTGGACGTGCCCTGCTGATTGGAGCCCTTCCTTTTGTTCTGACACAGGCTCTCACTTTGTAGCCCAGGCTGCCCTTGAACTCACAGCGATCCTCCTGCCTCAGCCTCCAGGGGGCTGGGATGACAGGCAGGTGCCACCATGCCCAGCTTGACCTTAATTTTTAGAGCAGGTTCTGAAACCCCTGCAGCCCACCTTGGTCTGGGGGGAGGGTTCTGTATAGCTAGAGAGCAAGTCGTGAGAGCCAGCCTCCTGTCCCCCATCTTTCTTCCCATTATGCCAGGCTAGCAGGCACGCACTGTGAACCAAGTACTCTGGGGAGTCTAAACAGGAGAACTCGGGATTGTTCTGCCAATGTAACAAGCAACCTCAGTAGGTGTTTGTTTGTTTGTTTGTTTGTTTGTTTTTAAGGAATAATAGCCTCTCAGTTCACCTTAGCAAACAGGATCGTTAGAACAATGAAAAAACACTGCTGATTATTTCCTTGCATAGGTTGGCTCTTTCAGTTTTCCCACCAGAGACCCTCAACCAAAACATTTCAGACAACGCGAAAATACCCAGCCTTGGCCACCAGGGGGAGGCGGTGAGCACTGGGCCGGCCCCAGGCAAATACACTGGCTGGTTTGGGGAGGCCTCAGCAGAGGGGTCTCCCAGCCACTTCTGAAGGATGGCGGTGTTGCTGGCTCTTACTCCCCACGGGGGACTGCTAAGACTGGGACAATGTTTAGAGCCCGCGGTCACAAGACCAAAGGATGAGCTGTGAAAGGCTCAAGTCAACAACTTCTGCAGATTACCCACTATTGTGGACTGCTGGACTGTGTTGGATTGTTTTGCTGAATTTACGCACCTGTAGCATTTAGATGCCAGTGGAATAACCATCTCTGACAGGACTAAACAAAAAAGGGGGATACAAAGGAAGGACCATTTTGTATCTGTATATACAGAATAGTTAGGCTAGATGTACAGCTACTTTCGCTTAACTCAATGAGAAGAAAGATTTGTACTAATAGTGTATGGACAGGAAATCTTGTCTGCTTCTTGTACTATGGATAACCACTAAGAAGATAACAATGTACAATGTATTAATTATTGAAACTGTCCTATTAGTTTTGAAACTGTCTCATTGATATTTGTTTCTCAATAAAATAAAATTGGTCTTAAAATAAAAAGACTGGGGCTGGGGAGATGGCTCCGTAGGATAAGCGCTTGACTGGTAAATGCAAGGATCAGAGTTCAATCCCAGGTTCCGCAAAAAAAAAAAAAAAAAAAAAGACCAAACGAATGCAGTTGTCCTAGAGATGAAAGGCTAATCAATCTGGTAGTTTCCTGAGGTAAGAACCATAGGGAATGTGCCCACGGGCCTATCTATGTTCCTCACCCCTGCCCTTTGCAGCCTGGTCTTTCCTCCCAGCCTGGGAGCACATGCAGCACTATGTCGGCCTGTGACCTTCTTTTCCTAACATTCTGTATTCCTCTTATTTTGCTTGTTTTTTGAGATAGGGTCTCACTATGTAGCCCAATCTGGCCTTGAACTCCTCGACCCTCCTGCCTCAGCCTCCTAAGGGCTGGAATTACAGAGAGGCGCCACCACAACCGGCTCCCCCCTGTCATCTTTTTGGCCTTCACTTCTCTTGGAATCATCCTTCTGTACAGGCTTCTAATGGCGCCGACATGGTGGCACACACCTGAAATCGCAGCACTCAGGAGGCTGAGGCGGGAAGATCAGGAGTTTGAACTCAGCTTGGGCTACCTAATGAGACTCTGTCTCATCAATCATTTAAAGATCTCCAATGTCAATTGAATGGGGGACAAAAAGTGGGGGTGGTGGTGAGACCTCAGACACTCCCCTTCTTTTATGTTGCTAGGACCAAGGCACTGTGTAGGTTTAGGCAGCTCGGTGCCCACCCAGCCATTTCCCCACCGTGCATCCAGCTTGGGTTCCTAGTAAAAGTCACACCCGTCTGGGTCCAGCGCTGAGCTCCACTCTCAGGAGGAGTCCACCCTCGCAGACTAGTGAGCGCAGGTAAGGTGCTGCGGCGCCCCGTCTCTCCCTAAGTACAACGAGGCTAAGGGGTTGTTCTAAAGATTGAGTTCATGTTTCTAATGCTTTTAAAGTGGTCGTTTGCCTCAAAATAAGCACCATGTTTTAAAATGAAAATGTAATGGTAGGTTTGGTGGATTAAGTAGTTTTCTGGAGCTCCATAAACTTTTTCTCTTTGTGGCCAAATGGAAGTGATATGTTTTGTGGTTTTTGTTTTTTGTTTGTTTGTAGAGTCTTGTTACATTTATTTGCACATAGTTTGAACTCAATATATAGCCTGGGTTGGCCTCGAACCTGCAACAATCCTCCTGCCTCAGTCTCCCGAGTGAAATGTTTTTCCTAGGCTTCAACTCCTAAAGAACTCTCCCCAGCCCAGAAGTGGAAAAGAGAAATCTATAGAGGGCTATCCGGGCAGTGGACGTGTAGCTCGAGAAAGGTTCTCTAGCTGAAGACCGAGCAGCGTTGGGCAGGAGGTGATCCCCGCGATCGTTGGTATCTAAGGGACAGGTCCCGGATGGCGCTGGCTTCAGGAGACCCGGGAGGGCTAAGAGATGAGCTACGGAGTGGGGAGTGGCTGGCACCGCGGAGCGCGTTGGAGGGGGCAGCAGAGTGGCCGTATGGGAGAAGGGGACGCCGGGGCCAGGCACCGGGCTCCGGGACGCGCTTACCCGCGGCTCCTACTAGCCCGTCTCGCCCCGGCTGCGCCGCCCGAATCGCTGGTGGGCGCACCTGCAGCCCCCGCGGGGGAGCCAGGAGCCGCTCTCCCATTGGCTGCCGGACCTCGGGGTCCCAACCCGCGCTCTTCAGCCCTCGGGTTGGCACCGCCCTCATATTTGCATATAGGACCTCCTAGGCCGTCCATTGGTTGCTACCGGACGGCAGCCATGCCCCCTCCCTCCCGGATCCATTAACCGCTCCTGCGCTGCGAGAGGGGGGTGCCCCACGTTGTCCCGAGAGACGCGACGGACGCTGTCTTTCATGGTCGCCACCCCCTTGCCATCCGGGAGATGTGCGCAAGCGCAGTCGAATGCTTGCCTCCCCAATTCCGATCTCCTGCAGTTAAACATCCAAAAGCAGAAGCAGTAGAGGTGGAAGGGCGTTGCACTGGGGTCCAAGTCAAGGGCTCAGGCGCAATTCTGCCTAGGTAATCTTGGCTTGTCCACATTTACCTTCCTAGGGCTTAGTTGAACAGTCTAATGGGCATTGCAAACCCGTTTTGGTAGTGCATGTCTATGTATAATCACAGAACTCTGGAGGCTGAAACAGGAGGATCTCTGCAAATTCGAGGCCAGCCTAGGCTACACAGTGAAACCTTGTCTCAAAAAAACCCTCACATCCCCGGTCCCACCAAAAAAAAACCCCAAACAAACGAACAAAAAAACCCTTCACAATAAATAAGTAGCCGAAACGACTGAGACAGGCCGGGGAGATAGCTCAGCGGACTAAGTGCCTGCTTAGGCAAGCACAAGAATGGGGGTTTGATCCCTGGCTCCACAGGCCGTGCTGGCCCCACCCCCAAGCGTGCTGAGCCACCACCCTGACCGGGTATGGTGGCTCACGCCTGTAATCCCAGCACTGGGGAGGCTGAAAACAGAACCATCACTATAAATCTGAGTTGCCAGACCCTGTACCAAATACATTTTTTTTTTAAAGAAGAAGAAAAAAAACTTCTGAGACACATGCTAAGTGACTCCAGCCCATCTCAGTAACTCCTGGATTAGATTAGGCTCTTTTCCTTTCAGATCTGGCACACCTCAAATTCTTTAAGAATGCTGTAAACCCATAAACTGGCTTAGTTTTAAAAAGTAAAGCTCAGGAGTCTGATCTTAAGATAAAGGAATAGGTTGAGAAAATTTAAGAAAAGTTTATTTTATTTTATTTTTTGTACTTTTTAAGGAAGGGTCTACAGAGTGTTCAGGGTCTCACTACTAGATCGGACTTGTAGTGATCCACCTGTTTATAGCCTCCCAAGAGCCGGGATTACAGGCACACGACACCATGCCCAGTCTCAATTGCCATCTCAGTGCGTCCCAGGGTTTGGGCCCACGGCAGGCCCTGGGATTGAACCCCTGGCCCCTGCTTGCAGATGCTTTAATCTGCTGAGCTATTTGGCTGGCCCTTAAGGAAAGTTTAACTCTTTTTTTTTTTTTTTTTTTTTTTTAGAACTGGGTGTTGAACTCAGGCCCTTGCATTTGCCAGGCAAGCGCTTATTCTGCTGAGCTATCTCCCCAGCCCCAAGGAAAGTTTAAATTAACCATCAAAACAAAACAAAAAACCTTGGGCCTGTACCTGTAAAAGGGGCAATTATCCTTTGAATGCTGAGCTGTTCTTTCTATAGGCTTCTACCTTTTAGGTGAAAGAATGCTCCACTTCCCAAAAGAACCTCGTGTTTCTCTGAGCGCACTGCTCTCTGCTCCCAAACGTATTTGTGTAAAATTCTGCTTCATCGATCCACTTAGGCCTCTCTCCTCTTTGTTTTTCTGTGACAGGGTCTTGTTATGTAGCGCTGGCTGGCCTTGAACTCTCAGCAATCCTCCTGCCTCAGCCTCCCGAATGCTGAGCTCACAGACTTCAGCCACCACACCTGGCTCCTTCTTCATTCCTGAGAAGGTGCTTCACTTGATGACTCTGAAATGCTGCAGGCCCTGGGGAAGGAGACTAAGCTCGGGGCGTGAGACACCAGGACTTTCCTGTGGTCGGAGTTGATATAGAGGAAAGATGCTCCCAGCCCACTAGATGTCCAAAACACTGAGTTCTAAAGTGAGCGATGAATTCTGGGAACAACAGAGGTTAAGAGTAGGGAGAATTCATTGAGAGGAAAAAAAGCTTCGGTCTAAAAAGGACAAGGGAGGGCTGGTGAGATGGCTCAGTGGTCTAAAGCACCTACTTAGAACAAGCTTAGCAAAGCACAGGGACCTCGGTTCAATCCCCCAGCACCCCA